AAAAATTGTCCAATGACTTATTTAACATATTTTGGAATGTCCAAGGACTTATTTGTTCCAAAAAATTGTCCAAGGACTTATTTAACATGTTTTGGAATGTCCAAGGACTTATTTGTTCCAAAAAAAAGTTCAAGGACTTAATCATTCCAAACAAGAAAGTCCATTGGTTTTTATTGTATTTTTCCCAAGTTCAAATTTCTACTAAGGAGGTGTTTGAGATTGTTTATTTAAAACAACTTATGTTTTTTTTGTAAAAATACTTATCAACTTATGTGGTATTAAATTGGAGTTTTGTAAAAAGTATTTGAATTAGCTTATAGCGGTACCAAAAAGTAATAAGCTGATAAGTTTTTTTTTAGTATTTGATAAATTTTGCTTATATATGTAAAATGACAAAAAAAAAACAGTATTTCATATTATTGACTTATGAGAGTGTTTGAGATTGCTTATTAACTTATTTGTTTTTTTAACATGTAAAAATTTATTTTTTATCATTTATAATAATATCTTTAACAAAAAAAATTATCAATAAGATTAATAATTAACAAACTTTAATAAAACATAGTTAAAATTGTAAACTGGTAATAAACAGTTTTTCATAAGTCAGGAATGATTAACTTATCAAAAACTGTTTATTACCGGTTTGACATCAGTATAAGCAGTTTTATTTTTCCTCATCCAAACACTAACATTTAACTTATCACCGGTATTAGACTGAAATAAATCAAAAAACTCCTAAAATAAGCAATCCCAAACACCCCCTAAAAAATCATATATCATAATAACTTTTTGATTAAGAAATCATACATTAACAAATCGAAATTGTCGATAAATTACCGTCTTAAAACGACTACGATCTGCTGGCGTCATCATCCCGATTGCATAAACGTCCAACAGTAATACAATATTCATCGCCTACATGGCATTACTGTTACACGTGGGCCCAGGTTGTGAACCGTTTCCTCCCTCCTTTTTTCTCTCCGTTTAAAAGCGTAGCCCCTTTCCCCCCAACCCTTCCGGCGACACCGGAACAGATACCAATCCAAACCCTACATTGAGAAAAACTAACCAAGGGAGTGAGCGAGATGGCAGCGTCGACGGCGAGGGTAGATCTAGACGGGAATGCCATAAAGCCGATCACAATATGCATGATAGGAGCCGGAGGATTCATAGGCTCGCACCTTTGCGAGAAATTGATGTCTGAAACGTCGCACACGGTATTCGCGTTGGATGTTTATAATGACAAGATCAAACACCTACTTGAACCGGACTCTCTTCCCTGGGCTGGTCGTATCCACTTCCACCGAATCAACATCAAGAACGATTCTCGCCTCGAAGGCCTGATTAAGTGCTCCGATCTGGTAAAATGTTCAATTATTATTCCAGACTTTTTTTTTCGTCTTGTTCGTGTTATTACCAGTTTTTTTGGGGATATGAATCGTCTCGGATCTGCATTTTCACCAGTAATGTCACAATTCTCATTTTTAAAGATAATAATTGGAGCTTACCATTATGGTTTACGCTTCAAGTGATGGATGTCTTACTAATATATATATATATATATATATATATGTGTGTGTGTGTGTGTGTGTGTGTATATGTTCTGTTTTATGCTAGAAACATAGAACAATTTTTAGTTTATAATGAGAAACTGTAAACAATGGTTCAGATGCTGTAAAATGATGCGTTTCGTAATCAGCTTTCTGCTGAATTATGTTCTTTTCGTTTTTTCATTTTTAGACATTAAATCTAGCGGCCATATGCACACCAGCAGATTACAATACCCGTCCTCTTGACACGATTTACAGCAATTTCATTGATGCTCTCCCAGTGGTATGCGTCCTTCTTTAGAAAGAATTGAATTGATTTTCAATGTTCAGCATATTTAATCAATATTGTTTCATTGGATGATTATAAGTGTTGAGGATCGTGATCTTTGTTTAGGTTAAGTACTGTTCAGAGAATAACAAGCGGCTAATTCACTTTTCTACCTGTGAAGTATATGGGAAAACAATTGGGAGCTATTTTCCAAAAGACAGCCCCCTGCGACAGGTGAGGTTTTAGATCCTTGGTTGTTTGTGTTTGTGCGTCTCTTGACTGTTCAAGATGTAGGTTGGTAGCTACTTAATTAATTTATTTGAGAAGTCATTTTTGTTGTTGTCTTGACAAGAGCTTTTTTATTAACGTATTTTTCAAGTATATAATGTATATATATGACAACTGTAACAAATAAACTCATACTCTATTTTCACCTCTGGTGAGGTGCGACTCTTACCTCCTGGAAGGCCAAAGGCTTGAATACCGCTAGCTGCTAGGCCAAGATCTTTTGGTTTTTTATAATATTTTGTTATAAAATATATATATTTTTATTTTGAATATTTGATAAATTAAATGAGGGAAAAATGAAAGTTGAATAGTTTATCCACCCGTTGGTAGATACCAACCTTTTGCACAAAAAGCTTTTCAAAAACCAACCTTTTGCACAAAACCAATGCAAAAACTTAAAGCTTGCATTGGAGTTGCTCTTAGACTGTTAGTTAGGGCTTGCTTTGAGTTGAGAATTCTTTTAGCACTAGTTCTTCTAGAGTTCTTGTATTCTATCCAAACTCTTTCCACTTGCTATGGTTGGTAGAAAATTGTTAAAAGTTACAAGTAGCAATAGAGTTCGGATAGTTACAAATGAACACCTCATTGGGTCAACCCCTTGAGGTTAAGCTAATTCAGAAAAATGTAGCAGTTGTTAAAAGTTGCTTCTTGGTAGAAAAACAATGTAACTAGCTTGCGCACTCTATAGTAATATCTTTTAGTGCTTCTTGATACTATCTAACCATAGTAAGGGGCTGTTTACCCAATTGCTTACCCGATAAGCGCTTACCGATATAAGTTAACATTATGATTTATTTTGATGCGTAAGATTTTAGTATATCAAAACATATCGAATGCAACAATTTAATGGGTAAACGCTTACCTGGGTAAGAGTCATCATCCTCGCTTACCGAGTAAGGCTCTCCACCATTCTCATCGCTCTTACCCGATAAGATTTTTGGGTCTTCTCATGTTCATCCGATGAGAAAATTTATCTGGTAAGCACTTACCAAGTAAGTGTTTAGCAAACGGCCCCTAAGTATCTTACTCACTGGGTCAACCCCTTGAGGTTATGCTGATTTAGATTGTTTGTGTATATTTGTGTTTCTCGCTGTCTTGTGTCAAATCTTTATTGTTGTAACCTGTACATATAAGTATTCTCTCTCTGTATGTGCTTTTCTCTTTTTGGTCTTAGCTAAGTAGCTAACTATTTAGAAGTTACTATTTTCTGTATGATATATGTACAGGATCCTGCGTATTACATCCTTAAAGAAGATACTTCCCCTTGCATTTTTGGCTCAGTTGAGAAGCAGAGGTGGTCATATGCATGTGCCAAACAGTTGATGGAGAGGCTAATTTATGGTGAGTAAAATAACCCACATTCCCGTCTTTTTAACATTGTGAGAAGCTCTCCTCACTTCCTTTCTCTTTACAGCTGAGAATGCAGAGAATGGTCTTGAGTTCACCATAGTAAGGCCTTTTAACTGGATTGGCCCAAGGATGGATTTTATTCCTGGGATTGATGGTCCCAGTGAGGGAGTTCCAAGGGTTCTGGCATGCTTTAGTAATGTTAGTTTATTATCTGTCTTGTTTTTTTTTTCTATATTTGAGCTGTTGTTTGTTCCACTTCTCTTAGAATTTTTTTCCTTGCCCAGAATCTCCTCAGACGTGAGCCTCTCAAGCTTGTGGATGGTGGTGAATCACAGAGAACCTTTGTTTATATCAAGGATGCTATTGAAGCTGTTCTTTTAATGATTGTAAGCTACTGCCTTATCTTTTTTCACACGTAATTTGGATAAATCTGTATCTGTAGCTAATTGACTAATGTTGGCATTCCTTTTAATTGTGTGCTTCTCAGGAAAACCCTGCCAGAGCTAACGGTCATATATTCAATGTGGGTAATCCTGATAATGAAGTTACAGTCAGACAACTTGCTGAAATGATGACTCAGGTGTGTAGCCTCTTTCTTTGCTAGTACTCACATCAGGTATCAATATGTTAAATGTTAAAACTTTTACTAAGAGAATACCACGCTCCACGCACACGGTTTTAATAGCTTATACATGTGCTTGCAGGTGTACTCAAAAGTAAGTGGGCAAGATTCCATAAAAACGCCCACAATTGATGTCAGCTCCAAAGAATTTTATGGGGAAGGTTACGATGACAGTGACAAAAGAATTCCAGACATGACAATTATTAACAAACAATTAGGTAATACTCACTTCTGGTCAATGTTTTTGACCACCCTTGTATTGCTTTCTTACCACAACTTTGTAACTAAAGAAATGATGCAAGAAAACCTCGTGTGTGCTCAATAATTAGACATTTAAGCATACTCCAGCATAGTTGACTCAATGAGCATAAATTGATAAAAATGTGTCAACACACTGGCTATGATTGAACCTTTGAATGTAGTGTAATTGAAAACCAAAAACAAAAGAACCAGAGGAGATCTTTGACATTCTAAAAGTTGGTTTCTACTGTTTGCCTACGATACTAATACCAACTAATTTTCAGTATCTCTGATTACGGTACATGCTCTCCTGCTAAGTTTACATAAGTTTGGTATTACATCTAAGGGGTTGGGTTCTGGTGAGAAGGGTAAAAAGGGGTTCTCCACCTTTGGATTGATCCTAACTGAAGATCAACAGTTACGAGATGCACCGGTTCAATTTCCCACAGAGCGTAATTCATAGGGTGGGGGTGAGACTGAAAGTGATCAAGAGTTCAGATCCCTTCTTACGCTTCTCATTTTAACTCATATGCTCACATGATCCTTCGTCTACGTCTACGACAATGCATATGTAAATTTGACGTCAAACCATCAGAAAGGTTTTTAATTCTATATACAACATTTGATTATGTAAATTCAACCCATTAGAGATGCTTTGATTCCATATAATAATTAGGTCTTGGCATATTTTGTTATGTTTATATCCTATAAACGAAGCAAGTTTCTGTTGACCCTCTGCATGATCTCTGAGACTAACGTGACATAGAGGAACAAATTGATTGAAATGCCTTTATTTGTGATGGACTTATTCCTTTGGAAATTTGTCAGGTTGGAATCCAAAGACACCGCTTTGGGAGCTGTTGGAATCGACACTTAGGTATCAACACAAGACATACGCTGAAGCAATAAAGCAGACCATTGGAAAAACAGTAGCTAGTTAAATGCCAAAGTGAATATGGAGTGTTTTTCAGTTTTAATTTGGTTCATCCTCAACCAGTCGGAAATAGGGTGTACGGTTGGTAGCTGTAACGCGATTTTATTTAGGGACTATGGACATATTATTTTCTTGTGTACCATGTCACCACGGCGGCCTCCAACATCTAAAAAAAATTAAATGTGGTTTTTATAGATCTTTTTCAAATATATTATTTATTCAAAGAATTTATTACTAATAAATCAGAAAACATGTGGAAGCAATTAGTAAAGTTTATTAACGTAAAATCTTGATGAGCATCTCTAATAGTGCTCCCTGCATTTTAAACGTAGAAAGTTCTTTGCCTGTATGGACTCATTTTAAATATTACCATACTCTTTGCATTATTATTTTAAGAATTTAGTATGTACTTTAATAAATGTTATTTGTATTTTTAAATTATTAATAAACATGGGGATGTAGCTCAAATGGTAGAGCGCTCGCTTTGCATGCGAGAGGCACGGGGTTCGATCCCCCGCATCTCCATTTATTTTAATTAAAAATGTTTTTTTAACCATAAAATGGTACTTGTTTGGTTTGAGTTTGACTCTAAAAGTCAAAACGTTTGGAGGTTACAGGTTCAAATCCAAGAAAGAACAAAAATTTCCTTGTGGCCATGGAGGTTCAAATACGGTGACCCCGAAACAGGTGATCGCCCTGAGATTAGTCCGCTCGCATAGCAGGTTGGATATCTAGGTTAATAAAAAAAATGATGTAATTATAATGAAAACCGCTCCACACATGTAAAGAGTGATCATGTAAATTAGGGTAGAAATTCAATTTTAAGAAGTGGCAGTGAAGTGCACATTTATGATATTGCCTCCCTACATTAATTAATTTATGGATGTAGTGAGTCTTCGAGCATATGCAACTTTTAAATCTTCATAAATTTTACTATTTTAATTGATAATTGATTAATAAACTTACTAGATTATACGTATATGTATATCATACAAATAATAGTTAATGAGGTATTTCTTAAATTTTCTTTTTTCTTACGTTTTTCTTGAACCTAATGCAATATAGACGCACGTTCTGTTAGGAACCTAAAATTAATTAGAAACTTAGAAACCGCCCACAATGTCACACGTGAATGTTGTAATGTATTCATTAAAACATGGACGTGTTATCCATTATGAATGTTGTAATTTATTCATCATGAATGTATGATTTATGATGAATAACATTTCTATATTCATCATTAATGTGTTATTCATAATGAATATTTATCCTGAACATGGACATGTGACATGCTATAGGCGGTTCCGGTTTCTAATCAATCTTGGGTTACTAATGGAACACACACACACACACACACACTTACTTGAGATCATGTGAGACAAAACGGTTTTCGTGAAACACGTGAGATACGATTTTTACACTTGAAACTTTACAGCAAAACACTGTGAAGGTAACCATCATAGTATTTTTGCTATAAAGATTCGACTTTTTTTTACCTTCACAATATTTTGTTGCGAAGTTTCAAATGTAAAAATCGTGTCACACGAAAACAGTCATGTCTCACGTGAATCCAACCCTATATATATATATATATATATATATACTAGGTTCGATTCGTGTATTACACGAAGTAATTTGAAAAAATTAAATCATGTCTTGAACTTATCTTACATATATGAATGATCATCGAAAGTATGATGCTACTTCAGACTTGTACTCTTGAAATGATTCTGAAGAATAACTCTGAAAAATGACTCTTCAGACTTGAATTTAGAAATGAAACTATATCAATAACTAGTTAAAATGAAGTTAACCCTAAAATAAAATTACATTTAGAAATGAAACTATATCAGTAAATTGAATTTAAACTTAGCAGTAAATTTAGAACGACTCTTCAGACTTGTACTCTTGAAATAATTCTTAAGTACAACTCTGAAGAATGACTTCAGACTTGGACTTGTACTCTTCAAATAACTCAGAAGTAAAACTCTTCAGACTTCAGAGCTCTGTATAATCAAGAAAAGTCAACTTTTGTCGATGTCCGCCACAAATCTCCCACAAATCCGTCACTGAATTTAAAAATAAAATAAAATTTTATTTCTACAACTTTCCCTACAGATTTGTAACAGATTTTTTTACTTATTTAATACTGTCACAAATCCGTCACAAAATTGGTCTAATTTATTTAAATAAATTAATTAGCGTTAATTAATTAAAATTTACAACGGATTTTATTTGAGTTTTATATTTAATTATACTCCGTCGGAAATGTTTAAGAAAACATTTTTTTTATTCTTTTACCTTTCAAAAAAATATGTTTAAAAAAGAATCCGATGGATTGTAATTTTCTAATAAAAAGTTATATTCCGTCGGAAATCCATCTGGAATTTATTTAAAAAAATATATGTTTTATAAGAAAAAATAAAAAAAATTAATAAATTCTGACGGAATATAATTTTTTATTATAAAAATTATTATTCGTCGAAAATTTTGAACTTCTTTTAAATATATATTTTTGGAAGAAAAAAATATAAATAAAACTTCTTTGAACAAAACCAACTAATGATGAATTTGCATGTTACCTAAAGGTTCAATGTTCAATGGGCAAGATGACTAAGTGTGAATCTTATCATGTTACCTAAAGGTTCAATGGGCAAGAAATTTCTGTATCGTGTGTTTCTACTCCGTGTACGAACAGCCCCCTAATGAAAAAAAATAAAAACCGCAAAAAGCAGTTACGGACGGGTCGGGCAAAACCGTAACCGGGTCATTAGAGCCCAAGAGGCCCAAGGCCCAAGGACCATCTTTTGACCATTAATATTGGGTATTACTACACCCAAGCCCAAGGTCAATCCTTCCTTTGGGCCTCTCTCTAACTTGCTAATCCATGTTTGTAAGACAATATAAACACATGAAATGTTTATTCTTTTTCCAATGTGGGACAAAGGTGGACAAATATCCAACACGCAACAATTCACAAGTTTCAGTTCAAGCTTCCGTTTTCGCCACGGTATAAATTTATGGAGTAACTTCTCTTCCAATCGTTTTTTGTGATACAACATTTTTCAGGGTGTGTTTGGTGTCTAGACAAGATAGAACAATTGTTTAATGTTTGGTAAGATAGAACAATTGTTTAATGTTTGTGAGATGTTTATTATGTATTTAATAATAATCTATACTATATTATAAAACATTTGACAAAAACTCTTAAAAACCACTTTTTATGCGTAAAGTAGTGTTTATTAATGCATATTACTTAAAACTCAAAATTGTAAGTAGATTGTGCGTGAGTACATCTTATTAAAGCTCCATATATGAATTCGTGTAACTAACTGCATATAAACATAATCAAATACGGGATAAACATATTATTTTAAATATAAAAAATCTAAAATATAATTATGATAATCATTGAATTCTAACATAATACTTAATTATCATCTTTATAAAATTTATAATATTAAACCTAAATTAAATTATAATAAAAAAATAAATTAAAGAAATTACATAAAAAATAGAACTTTTAAATAGCTGATATGACATTAACATTGATATATATTTTAATTTCAAATTTTTATGATATCTTTAAATTTATATTTTATTCAAAAATAAAATCATTATTGTTTTCTTAAAAACACATAAAATCGTATTATAACATCGACAGAGACAAATAATAAAATAGAACATTAAAATCGAGATGTGTCTCGCTGTATTACGCGAGTACTCTTCTAGTTTTTTATAAAGATAATAATTAAATATTCTGTTAGAACTCAATAATTATCCTAATTATATTTTAGATTTTTTATATTTAAAATAAAATGTTTATCATGTATTTAATTATGTTTATCTGCAGTTAATTACACAAATTTAAACTTTGAGATTTAATAGGTTGTACTTACGTATAATTTATTTATAATCTTAAATATTTAAGTAATATACATCAATAAATAGTACTTCATGCATAAGAAATGAGTTTTAAGAGTTTTTGTCAAGTGTTTTATTATTAGTATAGGTTGACCCATAAGCGTAAAAACACGTAAGAATAAGAGTTAATGTGAGAAACGTAAAAAAGAATTTGAGCCCTTAATATTTTGATCATATTTCATGGTCTTTTCAAAATCTTTTTTAATCATCAATAGTAATATCAAGTTTGTGGAATTACACTTTTAACCCAAATAGTTATACTTTCATGAATTTGACTAGAATTTGGTTAATCCAGATACGTTTTAATAATTGTTGACACAATTCCATCATTTATTAGTATCATGATTTAATGTGGACTTTGATAATTTCGAAATTGGATTGATAGACAAAAATACAAATAGGGATATCGATGATCATTCAATTAATAGAGGTCATTTGTTGACAATTGTGAGAAGATCATGAAACGTTTAACGATTATTTAGGCAATGAAACCAACCAATGTAAGTCTTTACAGTCTTTATGATAATTAGGATATATTTTTCCGTTCACATGATATGTTCATTATGTTTCTTAAATTGGTATAGGGGAAATTGCACAAAAATGAAACCAACTTTCATCTGATTCATATTTTGGGGAACCAACTTTCGAAATCGTCATTTAAAGGTCTCTATCAAACTTTTTGTTTATTTATGGTGCGTTTGGTATACTGCACAGGGACATGACAGGGATCTATGTCCATGTTTGACATGAATTTTGTATGGAACAGACAGGAATATAGTAGAACAAAGTGGAACACGGTGGAACAAGGTGGAACAGACTTACCAATATAACCTCAAAATAAAAACTTAATTCTCTTCTAAAACATCAATAGGTTTCTCTTTTACATTTTATTCATTCTTTAAATTTTATTTATTGTATTTTATGTTTCTTAAAATTTCATTTTACTCTCCTCAAAATATTATTTTTATACGGTTTCTATATTTTTATTAATTTATGTAATTTAATATATATTAATAATAAAAAATACTGTAGAAAAGAGAAAAAAATAAAAATAGAAAACCACATAAACTTTTTATTTTGTGTCATTTTAATTGTTTTGACGAAAACTTCAAATTATATATTTTGTTATAAAAAATAATTATTCTATTATAATTTAATAAATTACATAAATTGTTTTCTTGATTTTATCATCGTCAAACGTATTGCGTAAGGTTCACGCATGCAATTTGTTGTTTTGGATGAGTTTTGTACTTTCCCTTGATCAGAGTAGTAACTATTCGATTTTGATCTTACAGGAGTGATTGTACAAGTGATAGGTGATTTATTTTGTTTTCTAGAATCCAAGTTTTGTGAATGAGATGATACTATATGGGATCACTAGCCAAATTGTTTTCTTGATGCTTATATTTTATTTACTATTTTATATTTAATCTATTTTAATTGATTGTGCGCTTGTTGGTAATAGTTTTTTTTTCCTTAGTATGAAATGCATATAGATTTGCTTCAATAAATATTCAAATCATAATTAATGAACTCTATTCATATTCCACAAATATTCAAATCATAATAAATGAACTCC